CTCTCTGTCATCGTCGCATACAGAGGCATGTTCTCTCTCAGTCATCGTCCCATACAGAGGCATGTTCTCTCTCTGTCATCGTCGCATACAGAGGCATGTTCTCTCAAAGTCATCGTCGCATACAGAGGCATGTTCTCTCTCAGTCATCGTCCCATACAGAGGCATGTTCTCTCTCAGTCATCGTCGCATACAGAGGCATGTTCCCTCAGTCATTGTCGTCACTGAAGCACCGGTTCGCTATGTCATGTGAAGTCTTAACATCCTTCCCCAAATGTGAACGGGATTGGGCACTTTGCCTGTGATTAGAAGGTCATTGGTTCAAATCCCAAGGTTGGCAGGGGTGATTTCTTCATTGTGCCCCTGAGCAAGATCGTTAACCTTTGCTCCAGAGAATGTCTGACCCAGCTTTCTCAAAAAAAAAACATGTATGTTGTATTGGATAAGTGACTGCTGTGTATATAAAAATGTAAACCTGAGGGTTCTCTTTTGTTCCCTGAAGGCTCCATGGGGGACCTGGAGGAGGGTGAGGACAACCCACCTGATGATCTGAGCTCGTCAGGAGACGAGGGCGGTGCCTCAGACCCTGACGATCTGGCCGAATGTGGCGAATCCAGCCCGGCCTTTGCATCCCTGTACAGCGAAGGTACGTCTGCTGCCAGGCGCACATTCTCCCTGTAAGGGGCTCTCTGATCTCCCATCTCCTCTATACGGGTTTGTATTTCACTTCTGGAAAAGCCTGTTTCCATCTTGGAATCCCTTCATTTATGCCCCATGTTGATATAGTTCAGTTCAGGCTTCAAATTTAATGTGTCACATATGCAAACACACCGTAAACCTGAGTAGTGAGATGGTTCTCTGCCTGCTCCCTGGATTGTGCTTAAAAGGGAATATGTAATAAAATGAATAGTATGAAAAAAATTAAATAAGATTAAAATAACAATCAAAATAAAAACAAGGCTGTAAAATTAGACGAAAATAGAGTAAGGATATTAGTAGTTCTAAAATGAAGATGTACAATGAAAGTGTGGGATGATGTGCAGCAGAATGTTGGCTACGGCAGTGTTTCTCGAAGGAGTCCTTGGGGACCCCAGACGGTCCACGGCTCTGTTCTCTTCCAGGGCTACAGGAATCGTCATTGACTACACAGAGAGCCTGGAGGTAGAGACCTGCCCTAAGTCTTGGCTTTTGCATTGTTTCTGCACCCCCGCCCTTTCAGATCCTGCCTGATCTATTAGCTCGCTAGTCACTCTTGTAGTATGGATTTGTATTCATAATTTTGGTGTGCATTTAAATCTATGCAAATTGCATATTGTGCAGTAGAAATATTGCCTTGGGCCGGAGGTGTATGAAAGATGTCGCTGTGTTTTGCTTGAATATCCTGCTTGAGGTTCCTGAAGTTCTTATAACTCAAAGGTTAAACTCAAAGACCACAGACATGACTGGACCTGGCTGTACAGTGTATGTGGTTGGGATCAGGTGGGTTGTACCATATTTCTGTTTACGTTTTAAGGACAGTTATGGATATTTTGCTGACACTTTTCATGGGCAGTAAGGGCGTTAGAATAAAGTCGGAGTTTGCTGTGACGCCGTTTCAGATTGGCGTGGCAAAAAAAGCCACGTTTCACAAGCCACGCGGTCCAGGGGATGGGGTCTTAATTTGGGGAATTGGGGTCCTTGTCAGGCGCAAGCGGCAACGGGATGGACGGCTGAGAACAAGAGAGCGTGGATTAAAACCAGGAGCTTTAGCAGGGGCTGAAAAGGAACCGTGCTGGGAGAGTGAAGTGTGCAGGGTTATGTGTGTGGTGGTGTGTGGTTTTGTGTGGTGGTGTAGGGCTGGGAGGGGGGGAAGAAAAACATGTAACACCCCACAAAATGAGGGACAAGGAGAATCAGTCAGCATGTCAGGCTCTGGTCACCTGACACTGACTCTGGCTGGGCTGACCCTGTCCCTGCACGCGCAATAATAAACATGTACACCAGCATCTTCAATACAGTCAGTTCAGTACAGGGTGGGGCTCTACCCAACCAAGGGGCAATGAAAACAAAACTGACACTACTGTTCTAGTGATATCCTAACAGAGTAACAGTAATGAGTAAGTAATGAGTAAGCGGGCACACACCAGTTATGTAGAAAGTAGCGGTGAGAGACAATGGTGGGGGAAGTTAGAGGAGTTGTAGTGTGTGTGTCTGTGTGTGTGTGTGTGTGTGTGTGTGTCCGCGGTTCAGGGTGTAACATTCTGTGCCCGATGTCCATTTTTTTTTTATGCAGTTAGACCATGAAAGCCACAGTTTCGAGTCATTTTTGTCGAGTTAATCAAAATTTCTGTTTTCCCTGTTTAATCTCAAATTCCAGCTCTTGTGAAATTTGACGTTGCAGTGATAAGCGTCCGTTCGTTGGCTGGATTTCGATAAACGCATGGAAATTCTGTCAGGTGCTAATCGGGTTTAGATTAGAGATTAGCCCAGCGTGTGTGTGTGTGTGTGTGTGTGTGTGTGTGTGTGAGAAAGAGAGCCTCTCCGTGCTTGAGCGTGTGTGTGTGTCGGGGAGTGCAGTCCGTGCGCGTGTGTGTGTGTGAGATAAGTGTGAGTGGTGGAGGAGCACAGCGTGTGTGTGTGTGTGTGTGTGTGTCTATTTCCTCATCTGATTCTGGAGGTTTCCGTGGCACGGCCGCGTTCCTCCTCGCCGCCCTGTGCCGCTATCCAAACTTACAGAATCCAGGAACCTGCTCTTTCGACCCGGATCAATACCGCGGTCTCTATCGACCTACAGCTAGCTCATAAAGACCTTATCCGGCATCTGGGGGAGAGAGTTGGATGATAAACACCCGATAATGACGGCAGGGACGCCCCCTCAGGCCAGCCGTGCAGCGGCGGTCTGTGTCTCGTGGGACGCACACCTGCACACGCGCACAAACATGCCGGCTGGCTCCCCTGTTGTCGTCGTATCTGATGCTGAAGCCATTTCTACTTCCTGTTCCCTGACCTGCGGGTGAACGATGGCGTCCCGACTGAGGAAGGGCCGCTCTAATTTGCTCGGGAACCACAGAAGAGGGAAACCCCAGGGCTGTACTTCTGACAGCAAAAGGAAGCACTAGCGCCATCCAGTGTGTGGATGGTTCTCTGCTTAATTGCACTCCCTGTCGTCATATAGCCGGCATTGGCTAGGGGGATATCGTTCCTCAAATCTGACAGAAATGCATTTAATAAGATTAACACACTCTCTCTGTCTGGTCCATAGTTTTCTCGGTCAACTCGCAAATGTTATGAGCGGACAAGGCGTCCTGAATAAGCCAGATGGAAAGAGTGCTGGAGAATCTGTTCTTGAATGAGGGCCAGAATGGGAATGACATTAATGTCTATTAGGGCTGTAAAATTGTGTTTGGTATGTAAAGTGGATTGAGGAACCTGTGGTGGGTGACTTTGCCCTCAGGGTGTAACGAGGATGTTCTGAGTATTTATCAGATAGATGGAGACAGTTCGGGGTGGGAGTGGTTGCGGGGGGAAGCAGTTTGGGGGGACTGGTGGAAAATCTGTTGTCTCCTCCGTGATACCTGTCGCCCCCCCCCCCCCCACCCCCCCCCGATGATGATACAAGAGATAATATTGATAACATTAAATGCAATAACTGCTGTCCCAGCTGCAGTCTCTCAGCTCAGTGCTGCAGGATAAGATCAATATGCCATTCAGTGTGATTTATAGCTGGAAATAAAGGTACTGTTAGGTCAGCCGTGTGTGTGTGTGTGGTCCAGGTATACCTTACCTTGTGGGGACCCCACCTTATGGCTTCCTGGTCCCCATCAAGGAAAACTCTATTTAATGAAAATCCGTGATTGCAATAAAAAAACTAAAAATGCAAACTCTTGTATTTTGTTTGGTTACTTATGGTTATGGTTAGGGCTGGGTAGGGGTTAAGGTTGTCATAGTTAGCATTAGCATATTTCCCATAGAAATGAATGAGCTGATGAAAGATATGATTACACGACTTTGTGTGTGTGTGTGTGTGTGTGTGTGTGTGTGTGTGTGTGTGTGTGTTGAGAGATGGCTGATCAGTTTGACAACGTGGATCTCGCCACCATCTGTGACATTAATAATGTGAACGCTGAGGCGTCACGCGGGAGAGCCGTTTATGGCAGGTATTGATCGGGAACTATCGCTGTTTATCGGAGCGAGAACGCAAGGACAAACATGCCCTTTGCTCGCACACAGCTGAGGCATTATCGGGGTGGGGAGATGGGGAGGGAGATGGGGGGGGGGGGAGAGTCCTTTTCCAAACCTAGAAAAAGCCATCTGTAACTTTTAAGTTGGGGGCAGCTATTGGGGGAAGTTAGAGTGCCACACTCAGCAGGGAGGGTGACATTCTGAAAATGCAGCACCTCTCACTGTTGGGATGCTGTTTATTAATTATGTATATCAGCACCTGCTGTGGAAGGTCCTGCAGCGCCCCCGCTGGCCGATTCGGTGCCACGATTCTATCATCTGAGGCTACAGGCTGATCGGCTGATGGAAGTCGTTGCAACGGAACGCTGCGTTTTTTTTTAACCGCAGTCTGTTCACCTTTTAGACGTGAGATGTAGCTGACGTACGTGCCCAGACATACATTTTGATGTCAAGATCCTTGACACACAATTCACCAAAAATCAGAGACTGAAGAAAACAAAAAAACTATTGCTGGGAAAGTGTTTTAGGAGCTGATGAAGGTTTAAAAATGTGTAATGCCTTCAAGGCAGACACTACCCTGTGAAAGTAAAATACCCAAACGGTTTTAAGGATGATCTGCCTGTAGATCTAGCAGTAATGTGTATAAACACGCAGGCAGAGGTTGTGGGGAAATAAAACTTCCTGGCAGCAGAGGAGAGACTCTGATCTTTGCAATCTTTCACTGGCAGAGCACCGGACGGAAGACTCACCGGATCCCTCGGAGGGCGAGGAGGAAGATAAAGGGCCACCACAGAGTGTGGATGAAGAGCGGGAGCAAGAGGAGGAGGTAGAGGAGGAGGTGGAGGAAGAGGAAGAGGAGGAACTCCCCTGGGATGGTCCAGGTGAGTCTACACGTCGGCTTGGAGGAACCAACCCCCAGATAAAGGCTGTTTACTCCCAGTCAGATGGCTGAAGTGGAGTTTCATATTGTGCTCTTAGCTCTGGGCCGGATTAATGCTTAGGCTATGCTAGGCCCTGGTAAAAAAAAAAACCAAGACACAAAAAAAACGGGGCCTCACTCTTCCTCAGGAAACGTGGAATGGGTGAACTTATTAAAGCCCCTTGATCGATTGCTCCCGATCAGCAGATTTCACCGACAGCCCCTTGTGGACTATTGACGTTGCATTGTTTTTGACTCTCTCTCATTTCTCTCTCGGCTCAAGAAATGGCTCCCTTGGGGGGGGGGTAGCCATGTCAGGCTAGGGTCCCCACTGAAGTTAAAGCACGGTTGCCTTAGCTGTAGCCGTTGGCTACGAGTAAGTGGCTTACAGGAGTGTGAGCCTCATTAGCTAACTAGATGGACGTCTTTCATCGGGAAGACCTGCCGCAGCAATCATGACTGACCATCTTTTAATGGAGCAGAGAGTTTGGTAGATGCTGTTTGCACCAGTAGTGGACAGCCAGTGTGGCTATTCGCACCCATGACCCGGGTGTCAGCAGCCTCACCATTTTATTTCACGGCTAATGCTGTTGAATCAGCGGAGTTTTTAATTTTTTTTTATTTTATTTTTTTTACACCCCCCAAAAAGCTCAAATTATTCCCCAATTATTCCCCACTACACAAATATGGGGAATTCTCCCCCATTCTGACAAATGAATTTCAAGCCCTGTTGCTCATGCTAACGCTAGTTAGCAAGATTACGGCATGCCTTCAGCTAGCTAACTATCGCTAGAAGAGGGGAACATTTAGTGTTTAATGTACCCTGCCTTTTATATTTGTTTTCTTCTATGATCCCTTGAGCCACTGAAGTGACGTGGAGCCAGTCGAGCAACGCGGTGTTTGAGGTTTTTGTGGAGCCGGGTGTAAATGACCAAATAGACGGCATTTTCACCCGGGTGCATGTAGACACTCAGAATATTCACACTATTGGATCATTTGGCCATTCGATCCAGGCTGTTCCCCTGCCTTTGCCCTGTGCTCCTTGGGCTGGGGTACAGGCCGCCTCCCAAACCCTGCAGTGAATCTGGTGGACGAAGGGCTAGCATTTTGGTGGATAAATGCTCTCTAGTACCTTCTGCCCAGAGATAGTTGCTAACGAACTGCAGGGTCTGTCTAGGAGCTTGCAGCCTTTCAGTCACGTGTCTGGGTCCTTAACTGCTGGCTCTGCCGTTGGCCGCCTGCTGTAGAGTTTTCTGTGTGACCTTTAATATTCTGAGGAAGCGCTCTCCAATTTAGGTGTTTTCCTGTGATGGATTTCAGAGGCCCAGTGATGGAGAGTGAGGACGATGTGGATTCTGGTCCGGTGACACACCCTTATAGTCATTGGGAGTCTTGGTTTGAGTTTGGTGCTGGACATTGTGTGTGTGTGTGTGTGTGTGTGTGTGTGTCTGAGCATTTGTGTATCTGGGCAGACTTGCTGTTGGGTTCCATCCCTCAAAGACTGCTTTGGATTTGGATCTGGGAGGCTGTCTGTTAGGAATTATTTAATTGTTGGGATGAAAATGCTTTTGAGATGTAAAAGCGCTCCGATTTAGCAAACGTTGCAAGCAGGAGATAAAGATGTAAATACATTTCTCTCATTTCTTATTTCTTCCTTTTTCATATCTGTGTGTGTTTTTTTCCATTTCAGTCTGTTGAATGGTTTGGATGGTATGGAATGGGTTAATAATAGCCTTTTGATCTTGCAGTTTTCAGTTTGACTACGTTTTTGCTGTGTGTGTGTGTGTGTGTGTGTGTGTGTGTGTGTTTTGTTTTTCCTCAAATTATTTAATATCATTGTAAAGATATTGTATTGTAAAATGTGTCAGTGAGGTTAGTACAATCTCAACAAACAAAGCCTCTTGTTTTAAAGTTATTGATATTTGTTTAACAATGTAATTAGAAGTACCAAAACTTTTTCCTTTGTTATTAACTTGTATCTGTTCTTGACATTTGATGGTTTGGGTTTTTCCGGACTGTTAATTACATTAAAATAGGAGGCCCAACAAAGACAGGAATACAGACGAGTGTTTGTCTGTGCATGTCTGCACGTTTTAATTCCTCATATCGAGAATGTTTTCATTATCGTCTTGTCCCAGCCTGTCCCTGTAACGGTAATTGGAGTGATATTAATTGCCGTGTGGTTGCTGGTTGATGGCAGCATGGTGATGTTGCCGCGATAGACTTTTCCTTCCAAAGTAACTGCCGAGACGGGGAGCGAGAGGGAGAGATAGCCCCCCTATCAGCGCCGGAGCAGGCACTGCCTTTATCAGGAGCGCGATTGGCAAAAGGGAAACTTTGACCGGCCTGAATTTTTCTCTTATCATTGAGACCGCCCCCCCCCACCAAAACCCACCCGCCTCCACCACCAGTTCCTCTAGCCCTCGCCTCTCCATCACCCTAACCCCCTCCCACACACACACACACACACACACACACACACGCTCCCTGTTTTTTTCCTGTTCTCCTGAGTGTCAGCAGTGCAGACATTATGGACGTGTTCTCCTTTCGCACTCGCTGTTGGCAAACGGGCTCCAGCTCATGTGGAAACTGGCCTTAGTCCTTTTAAAACTCCTATTACTCCCATTTTCCACTGTGATTTTCAGGTCCCAGCTCATTGAGGACATATTGAAAGCCCTCCTACCCCCCACAAACTGAGGGCAGTATTACAGGAAACTGCCCCCCGTGCACCAGTGCTCAGCCCAAGGCCCCCACCACTTTTCACTCTCACCCCCATTTTTACTCCAGCCCCTCGTCCCTACAACAAACTTAAAAACACGCAGCACTGTTGCATCACAATGGTATTCTGCAGGAAGTGCGTGCATTCTGTTGCCATGGTGCTCTCTCTGTGAATTCTGCAGCCTGCCGTTCCCAGTGTGTTTTGAGTGTCGATGGTTTAGTGGTTACTCTTCCACATGGGATTTCGGGTGTACGGTTTTCATACTTCTGTATCCTCTCTATGATTCAGAAGGGCACAAGGAAATGATTCAATCTTTATTAACACATTTCATTGTAATTTTAAATTCTTAGCAAAGGAAAGCAATTACTTTAATTCAATTTTAATAACGAACTTGAATTATGTTTGTTGTGTGCAGGGAATATTTATGGTGATATTAAGATGTAAAATAATGATTAAATTGGCTTTTAGGTACAGGAGATCTGATCTGTGTGGTTCTGCTTGGTTCACATAGTGCCTGTCAATCTGACATTAAAAGAATGTCAATAAATGCTCTGGGCCTAAAAGATAAATTAGATTTTAATTAAAAAATTAGAAGGACAGAAATAATCTCCTTCCTTGTTTGACAGGGTTTTTTTTCCCAAGCGAAAAAGAAGTCATTTCCCCTTTGAAGACCATTTACTGATCAAAAAAATTAAGTTGTGTTTAATTTTTAAAAATCCATCCAGTATTTTTACCCCGATTTAACCATGTTTGGCTTTCTATTTTTAGTTCAAATTATGAACTTGAGCTTTTAAATTGCGATCAGTTTAGCCAGGGCAGGATTTTGATTAAATGTTGCCTTTTAATTATGAATGTTGAAATAAAGTGTCCTTGGGTGTAGAAACTGGTAAGTGTGGTCATGGGGCTTAACGAGGCCGTTGTTTCAAGTCTAACAAGACTGATTTGTGTGTAATATTTCTGAGATGGGGGGGGGGGGGGATATGGAGAGGTGCGGGCGTCAGGAACAGTTTGATACAGTGAAGCAGCTTTTAATCTATAACATGTCCTGCTGCATGATATGCAAAATAAATTATGAAGAAAAAAAAATTATCTTTAATATGACCTTGCTGGCTGGAGGGTTTGATATTTTTGCTCTGCTTAAAATTCTGATATGCAAATGGCTGTCACGGTGATTCCAGCCCCCACCAAGGGACCAGTGGCCCCGCCTCCTCAGGGCCCCCTCCCTGTCGCTGAGCTCCCCTGGCCCCAGATAGCCACACAGCCATAGGGATGCTCGCCGCTGATGTAATACTGATACGCGACTATAGAATTCACCTCCCAAATATACCTTGAGTTATTAACGTGGTAATAGCAATCGTAACAACGGTGCTCGTAATTATTATGATTTGTCTGGCTTGATAGTTTTATTGCATTTAATTATAGGGGAACAATAAGCAACAGCTATGTATTATTTTGCCATTTAGGAGCGCATTGGGGGGGGGCGTGATTGAGCTGATGGGGGCTTGATTTGTATGTGTGAGGGCTTTTTTTTTTTTTTTTTTACAACATCAGCAAACGCTGCAGGAATATGCACATTCAGGCCAGGAAAGGTGAGCAGGGAGAAATTAAAAGCATATCAGCAGCCACCAGGGCCCTGCTGGATTTAGCCGGAGTGGGCTGGGGGGGGGGGGGGGGGGGGGGGGGGCGTGGGGGAGTAGCTGGGCCAAGTGTCTGTTTCTTACATATGGGATATAGACGCCATTCTGAGTCTCTGCATTTACGCCCGAGGAGACCGTTCGGCCGGCTCTGGATCTCTCAGATTAGCGCTGGAGTTTGACACGTCATAGAGATTCATACGCGAAAAATCTTTGACGGGGTAGAGTGGCAAGTCACTGGCGGTAGAGTTCCAGTCGGCCTGCTGATAATTATTTATATGCCAGGAAGGTCATTAAAATGCATGATGTTGACGTATAACCATATGGCAGCAAAAATTGGGTTTGTTCAATTAGAATCCATCGTGATACACAGATATTGAGGAGGTAGATTCTGAAATTAGAATTCATGTTGTTTATTTCAAGAGATGAAGGTGAAATAATTTATATTTCTATTCCTCTATCTCCTTTTTATTGAGGCAGAAATTTCTTTTTTTCAGAATTTACTGGTTCCTGAAAACATGCATAATTACGGGCAGGTATTCCCTCATCAAAGGCATCGGGTTTTATACTGAGATTGAAATGTGTTTCTCCCTGACACAAAGCGTTTAA